GTTACGGTCAGCAAAGGGTTAAAGAGCAACAGTCATATAACTATTACAGAGAGTGAAATATGATTGCAAGCTATAATAAAGATAAAGACAAATTCAGCTAATTTTTTCGTAATAGAAAATTTTCACGCAGCTAATTTTTAAAATCAGCTACCTTCCTTGTGGAACAATTCAGGAAACTTTTTCTATAGAAAAAGTCAATCCAGCCAACTTTTTCTACAGAAAAAGTCAATTGAGGCAACTTTTTTGTATAGAAAAAGTAAATTCAGCTACATTTTTCAATAGAAAAAATCCATGCAGCTAACTTTTTCTATAGAAAAAGTCAATTCAGCTAACTTTTTCAATATAAAAAAGTCAATTCAGCTACATTTTCAATAGAAACAAATCAATTCAGCTAACTTTTTCTATAGAATAATTCAATTCAGCTATCTTTTTCAATATAAAAAGTAAATTCAGCTAATTTTTTCTATAGAAATATTATATGCAGCTAACTTTTTCTATAGAAAAAGTCAATTCAGCTAACTTTTTCTATGGAAAGGATCAATTCATCTAACTTTTTTGATAGAAAATGTCAATTCAGCTAATATTTTTCTTTGGAAAAAGTCAATTTGGCCAATTTTCTATAGAAAAAGTCAATTCAGCTTACTTTTTCTATAGAAAAAACAATTTATCTAACTTTTCTATAGAATAAGTGAATTCAGCCAACATTTTCTATAGAAATATTATATGCAGCTAACTTTTTCTATAGAGAAAGTCAATTCAGCTAATTTTTTCGATAGAAAATGTCAAGTCAGCTAACTTTTTCTATAGAAGAAGCAAATTCAGCTAATTTTTTCAATAGAAAAAATCAATTCAGCTAACTTTTTCAATAGAAACAGCAAAGCAAGCGAACTTTTTCTATAGAAAATTCAATTCAGCTAACTTTTATATATATATAGAAAAAGTCAATTCAGCTAATTTGCCCTATAGAAAAAGTCAATTCAGGTAACTTTTTCAATAGAAGATTCAATTCAGCTAACTTTTATACATAGAAAAAGTCAATTCAGCTAACTATATTCATTAGAAAAAGTCAATTCAGTTTTTTTCTATATAAAAAGTTAATTCAGCTGACTTTTTATATTCAGCTAACTTTTTTAATAGAAAAAATAAATTCAGTAACTTTTTTAATAGAAAAAATTCTTACAGATAAATTCTATTCAGCTAACTTTTTCAATGGACAAACTCGATTTAACAAACTTTTCATTAGCAAAAGTCAATTCAGCTGACATTTTCATTGAAAAATCCAATTCAGCTGCATTTTTCTACAGTAAAAGTCAATTCAGCTAACTTTTACAATAAAAATGTCAATTCAGCCAACTTGTTCTATTGAAAAAGTCTATTCATCTACCGTTTTCTATATGAAAAATTCAATTCAGCAAACTTTTTAATAGAAAAAGTCAATTCAGCTAAATTATTCATTAGAAAATGTCAATTCAGCTAAATTTTTCAACAGAAACTGTCAATTCAGCTAACTTTTTCAACAGAAACTGTCAATTCAGTTTACTTTTTCTATAGAAAAACTGTCCACCTAACCTTTTCTTACAGATATTTTCTATTCAGTTAACTTTTTCTATGGATAAACACAATAATCTCGATTTAGCGAACTTTTCCGTTAGCAAATGTAAATTCATTTAATTTTTATGAAGAAAAAAGTCTATTTGTCCAATTTTTCAATAAAAAGGGTATTCAGCTAACTTATGGATAAAACCACTTAATTCAGCAAATATTTGTCAAGTTTCAGCTATGAAAAAATGATTTTTTTTATAGAAAAAACACAATTCAGCTAACTTTTCCTACACAAAAATGAAAAATACAGCGAATTTTTTTACATTTAAAGTCATTTAAGTGAAATATTCATACATATAAATTCAATTCAGCTAACTTCTCTTATAATTCAGCAAATTTTTTTCTACAGGAAATGTAATTTAGCATTATTTTACTCTGGAAACCCTCTCCTTCAGCAAAGGTTTTCTATAGAAACTTCCAATTCAGCAACTTGTTTTCCATAAAAATTCAATTTAGCACAAATTTTTAATAAAAAATCTCTATTCAGCTGATTTTTTCTTTAGAAATCATCAATTTAGCAATGAATTTTAATAAAAAAATCTCAATTCAGCAAACTTTTCTTCAGAAAATAGCTATTTAGTAAATAATTTTTTATAGAAAATAAATATTCAGGTTCAAAAGTTTTTTTCAGCAAACGTTTGTCTATATAAAATAACAATTCAGCGAACTTTTTCACTGGAAAAATTAATTCAGTTAATTTCAACAAATGTCTCTTTAATCGATTTAGAAAATTATTTAAATTTTAAATTCAGCAAAATTTTTGAATTTAGAATCGAATTCTTATTATAGATATCACGATTCCCATTCAAATTCCTAATGTTCATATTTTATTTTTCAATATGGCAATACTATTTTGTTCTTTGTCATTGCTGAGTCTAGCTGTTGTGTACTAAAACCCCACCAACGCCTAAAAGTATGCAATGAAATGTGCAAATTGCCATTGTTTTGTTTCTCTTTAGAAGAAATGGGAAAAATGAAGGTAAAATAAATAATACGGGCAAAATAGTGTGACCAAGGGTGAGGGGACCCATATGCCTGGGTCCCGCTTAGTTAAATATGACATTTTGTGCTTACTACCAAAGCCAAAGAGGTCATTTAGAAAAAGAGATTTACAGTTAATAGCGCATAAATAAAGTGGGTAAACGACGACGGCGTTGACGTCTCAAACAAAATGTGACAAATTAGGGAAAGAAAAAAGTAACAGAAAGTCTAGTAAGACAAAGACAAAAGTCGGAAGGCGACTTTTGGATACCCTATACCACATTGGGGTATACAAAAGAGGGCTCCTAAAATATATATGGGAGCTATATCAGCATCTGAATCGATTCCTATGGAACTCAGTGCACGTAATTCTAGGCTCAATTTGGAAGGTTGGACACAATTTCGTCCTGATCGTATAAACTTTGGATATTTGAAGCACCATTTCGATGAAATCGGCCGAAAATCTATATGAGATCTATATCAAAATGTAAATCGATTTCAATCAAACTTAAGGGAACCCCACCCATTTTTTTCAAGATTTTCAATGGGCTGGTAAATCAATACCAATGCTTGTTAAGGTTTGTAACTTTGCACATATATATTTCAAGATTTAAAAATGAAGAAAAATAATTTACAAAAATTTTTTGTTATTGTTTTGTTGTTGTTTTTTGTAATTAAAGAAAAGTCCTTATTTTTGATGGCGGGCATGATAACTCCTCACTGGAACATCGGAATCCGAAAATTCGAACAGTGTTAGAAAGAGTACATGTCTGTCTCTCGTATGAACTAGGATTGTTGACTTCGCTCTAAAATTAACAAAATGGCGGGCCTTTAAAAAAACATTTTTGGAAAATCGCCGATTCTTGACCAAAAACCAAGTTAAAAAAATAAGGAAGATCTTCACCGATTGGCTTTATCCTAGTTCATACCATAGCTATACACTCACAGAGAAACGTGTAAAAATTTGGAATCGATTGGGTTATTAGTTTTTGAGTTATCGTGCCCGCCATTCGCAAAAGAGAAAAACGCGTTTAAAGTTTGAGAAGCCCTTTAACCGTCACTTGATGCTGACACAATAAATCGGCTATATTTTCAAGAGTTCTTGAGATTTTCACTTGAAATTTTATAGGAACATTCTTGAATTAGAGTAGATTCGAATTAAATCAAAAAAAAATTTGACCCCGAGAATGGGGGGGGGGGTCCCCTTAATACACGTCATTCTAGGTATAATTCTGTGTCCTGTGTCAGATTTCGTTTCAACCGAAAGTGAGCATGTGATGCACCTTTTACCTAATATCCCACGAAACCCTATTTTGGAGGCTATCTCTAAAACCGAAAATGTTTCAACGAAAATTAATACACGTTCAATTTTGTGGACCATTTACCTAAAAACAACAATTTATATCGATACTAGTACCTAGAATATCCTATTGATAAGCGGTCTTCTTCGCACTTAGCGTTCCCTATTGCTCAGCTGATTCACTATGGTACTCAATTCGCGTTTTTAAAGAACTCCCGGAACAATAAGCGTAAATTTTTTAAGAACATATTTTGAAGAACAATTTGAGCTATAAGAGGGTATAGAGATTCCCATGAATATGTTGTCTTCTCCACACCTAGAAATCCCCATAGATCAGCAATGTTTCTAAACTGACGTTCCTTAAGAAAACGTCATAATTTGAAATCACTAATCGTTTTTAATATAATTTCTAAATATAAAGTAATATAAAATATTACTGGATAATATATTTTACTATTCGGAAATAACGAGTATTTAATATTGATTTTCACACCTAGAGATCTCTTCTGGTCAGTTGTCTTCTTCGCACACTGTTTTCCCCCTATTGCACTGCTGATTCATAAAAAAAATTGTTTTTGTTTAAAAATTGTTTTTTGTTTCAAAGGTTCTCCAGATGCAAAATCATCGATAATTTTGAATATAATTTACTTTTACGTAATAAAAACAATTTATATCGCAATTCCCATCTAGAGATCCCTATTAATCAGCTGTCGTATTCGTAGTGTTCTGTATTGATCAGCTGATTCACTTCCATATGTTTTATAAATCGATTTTTGTTTAAGAAAACATGTTAACATTCAATTTTAATAAAGCAATCTTTGTAGAAATTTAAAATCAATACAATCGAAACAATATTATATATGTACACAGCTATATTTAAATATAGAAATATATATTTTTTTAATTTATTCATGCGAAATATTAAAAAAACGTCACAAAACATATCAAGCAAAAAAAAAAAAAAATCAATAAAACTCTTATAAATTCAAATCAAACTGGAAGTTAATTTTTGAAAAAAAAATAAACAACTATTTCATTCCAAAGTCATAACAAATTAAAACAAAAATCATCATAATTATAATTCATTATGATCTCATTTGATTACCATCAGGCTTACCTGGATTAGCATGGCGCAAAAGCAATTGTGGGCAAAAATTGGAAAATTTAAACTGTTTCGTTGTTTTACAAAACATATAATTTTTTATATATAATATTGAAATGTGTATATGGAGAAAGAGAAAAAGAGAGAGAATAAAATATAATTTTGTTTAATTCATATGTGAAAAAATTATTAATTTTATTATTAATATTTTTTTTTACAAAATTTATATCAACAGTTTAAATTTGCTGTAGGAATGGTGAGAGGACAAAACCAGCAGGTATAGCGCAGGAGCAAGTACAGCCATAAAGCAATATTATTTGATTACAGCAAATGTTATATATTTTGTAGTAAGGGTATTTAAACTCTAAATTGAACCATAGATTGTCAAAATTGGTCCATCGAAATTCGCAATTAATTAGAATTGAGAAAACATTGGCATATGCAAATAAAATTGGGTTTGTTATATACAGCCGATGACGATCATAAGAAACACAAGTCGAAATAGTTGAACAAAAAAAGGAACTAGATGAACAAAGGAAACTAGTTACCAATCATTCCATTTGCAGAATAGTTCATTTGAACTAGTTCGTTACAGAATGTTTTAGAATAGTAGTAGTCTCTGATAATCGTCTGTGGCTGTTTTTAAAAACATCACAATGGGTTAATGAAATGACACATGTTTGAAAACATCAATGAGAATGGTTAAATATGCAGACAATAATTAATATGCAAAAATGATCATGTTCACAAAGATTGAATTTGTTTATTACTCTATGTGTAACGACACATAGAATAATATATGTGTAACAAAAAAAAAAATGTTCTTTCAATATGCACAACTAGAGAACTCTATAACGCAGTGGTGTTTTTTCTTTCGATATGCACAACTAGAGATCCCTATAACGTAGTTACTTTTTCACAACAAGAGATCACTAAAACGTAGTTACTTTCTTGCAACAAGAGATCCCTATATAACATTTTTTTAAGGAGTTTCAAAACCCTAAGAATTATCAGATTTCTTAACGTCGATTTATTAAGGACCGCTTGAATCGTAGTTTATTTTAAATAATATATATATTGTCATGAATCGACGATATGCTTAAGTCTACTTTAATGAAAAGTTTTTGTGATGTTCTGAAAGTCCTGATTTTTTTGAAGACTAGTTTTTCTAGGGCCTCCAGCGCTAGAAGATGGATATTATGGAGTGTATTTTGTAACCGAAGACAATTTTAAATGAGGATTTTTTAAAGATTACTATTTCTAAGGGCGCTAAGTCTATATCTAAATGATCTATAGAGCTTGAAATATGAATTGGTAATTTTGCAAGGACGTCAAAACTTTGAAATGTGATTTCTTAAATATCAGACTAGGGATGCTATAACTAAATTTTAATCGATTTCGAATCGTATTCTATCCTCAATTAAATATGATATGAACATTTTCGCCTAAATTTAACAAACATTAGGTCTTTGGTTCATCAGTAACATAAAATCGGACAAAATTCTATGTGGGACCTATATTTAAATACGAAACGATTTAAACGTAACTTAAAAACCTCATTCCAGGCTCACTTTGGTATGCAAAGTTTCACGATCGGACAAACGTTAGGTATTCGGTAAATTCGGTAGGTATGGTATGCAATGTAAATTCGGTGCACAATTATGCAATGATACCTAGAGATCCATATTAATAAGCTTTCATTTCACACCTAGCGTTCTCTATTACTTGTTTTTTTTCATTGACCATCTGACTCTGGAAAGTTGCATATTTTAATAAAATACCTTCAGAACTTATGTAATGATTTTTTTTAAATGTGAATCAATTATCTACAGCCCAAGGAATATCTGAGTTTTATTTTTCAGAGACCTCCACTCCATTCCAGGCTGTGGAAAATTGTGTCGCAATCACAGGTATTCGGTGCACAATCATGTAATGTAAACAATTTATATCGATATTCATACCTAGAGATACCTATTGATAGGCTGTCATTTGCACACCTAGCGTCCTCTATTACTTGTTTTTATGACCTAAAACGTGGTAATTTTCAAGACTAGATCTTCAGAACTTAAAATTTTTATTGTTTATAATATGAGTCTATTATCTAAAGCGCAATTATCAATGTACTTCAGACCTTGAAACTCGGAGAATTTTTGGGAACTGTTAATACAATTTTGTTAGGTGTCATCAGGATTTTTTGAATCCCCCCTTGACGTGTATATTTCTTCGTTGAGGATGAATAATTAATACATATTTTTAAGGACGTGGATGTAAAAAAAACATTACAATTATTAAAGAAAAGTTTTGAAGGCCCTCAAGGGCTAAGCAGAATGCTCGCGTTCAGCCATCCGTCGCGTTATATGTTATCGAAAATACAACAACCACAAGGAAACGATAACACAAACGCATATCGTTTCCTTGTGGTTGTTGTATTTTCGATAACATATAACGCGACGGATGGCTCAACGCGAGCATTCTGCTTAGCCCTTCAGTGTAATATAAAAAATTTATATCGATATTCATGCCTAGAGATCCCTATATAAACTGTCTTTTACGCACCTAGCGTTCCCTATTAATTTTTTTATGGACCATTCCACCCCGAAATTAGGTACTTTTAAATTCTTCGCTCTCAGAACTTTAAATTGGAATTTTTTAAAGAAATTAATCTATTTTCTAAAGGGCATTCAAGGAACTTCTGAGCTTGAAACTTTGAAAATCAAAGTATTTTTGGGAACTACTTTTTTCCAAGAATCTCCAAAGTTTGAAGTGTGATTTCTTTAATATATTTTTGTAAGGGCCATTAGAACATTAAATATTGGATTTTTAGGACCATCAGTACTAAACTGATAGATATTTTAAAGACCGGAAAATTATTGAATATTTTTTCCTCGGGTTATAGGAGCTATAAACACGTTTCTTATTTCATATAATATCGAAGCAAGAAACTTCGATTTTTTAAGCCCCGGTTTTTTCAGTCTAGAACGTGAACATAAAATAAAATAGTCATATTTTTCAATATTGTATTAAGTTTCTCGGTGAACCTGAACTTTCAAAGGGAATGCTTTTAAAGGTCTTTTTGGACCTGGAAATCCACGTCAAGAGGGAAAATAAATAAAAATATATAATTGTTTCAATTCCCTCTCTTGACGTGGATTTTTCTTCGTAGATTTAAATCAATTAATGCATATTTTTTGAGGTTTTAAAGGACGTGATTTTTATGAAGACTTTTTTTAAATCTTTTTGAAATATATTTTTGTGAAATTTTTTTTTTCTTAATATTTCAAGATCGATCTGAAAAATGGATTTTGTTTTAAAGGGACACAGACTACAAAGATTTTTTTAATATTTCATGCGATTCTATGGATGAATATTCAAGGTCTTCTTTTAAGGACGTGCGTTTTTTAAATACTATTTCTTCGAGGTCCTTCGTTAATGTGATCCTGCAAAGATTTCTTTTTGAAAACATATTTTCAGGTTCCACCATGAACGTTGCATTTTTATTAAGGAATATTTTGTGTTTTGTTCTCTATAGACCAGAATTTTGTATAGAATATTTTTTTTTTTGAAGATTGTCTTTTGGTCGAGAATTGTTTGAAGAATAATATTGAGCGGAGTTTTCTTTGAATGTTGATTTCTTTAAAAAAAAAAATTTGTTTGGTCGTGGCATTCATAATAAATTGAAGACTCTTCATAGGCCCATATATAATTGTTCTAGATTTTTATACCCTACACAACTATGTTGCCAGGGTATTATAGTTTGAGTTTGTAACGCAGCGAAATATTGGTCCTAGACACAGCTTTTAGTTACCGATCGTCTTATCTCGACTAGCTGAGTCGATCTAGACATGTGTGTCCGACCGTCCGTCCGTCCGTCTGTCCATTATAATTTGTAAACACGATACAGGCCACAGTTATGGACCAATCTTCACGAAATTTTGCATGTAGGATGGGTTCTGGCCAATGAAGACCCCTATTGTTTTTGGTAATGATCGGCTAATATTTAGGGGATGAAATGGACCAAATACTCCGCTCATTGGTTTAAACTAATTTTAATTTTGTGGTTGTTTCTAGAATGAAGACAAATTTCGAACCTTGACAAATTTGAATTTAAGTTCGCATCAGGGCGAAATAAATACAAGTTATCAATATACGACCTTTGTAAAGCCACATATAGCCCAAATATGCCTGATGAGCCGCTTAAGCAACGGCGATACGCGTCGCTTAATGGTGGGTATGTAGATTCTTCTCCTGCACATTCTTCTTCCTTTTCATGGCAAAACTTAGATCATTAAGCGCGACTCGAAAGAGTAAAAATAACTCACCTAAAATTTTTATTTATATCAGAAAAAATTTTCCTCACTTATAATTTTTATGTGAGATGATAGAAAACTCTGGATTTCAAAATACTTTTACCTTTAGAGGCCACAACCTTACCCTTAATGGAGATTTTTTGATTTTGAAAATCCTGCATTAGTAATTAATGCGAGCTGATTTCAAAATTAGTGCAAAAAAATATGATAACAATGTGTGTGTGTGTGGGCGCGTATGTATGTGTGTTTGTTAATATTTATTAATTTTGGTGAGAAAAAATAAAATCCAAAAAAAAAAAAAAAAATGAAAATGATATGGACATGGAAATATGATGACGATGTTGTTTCTTGGTGGTGTGAGCAATATTGAAAAGCACAGGATTTGCTTATTTTGAGGGATTTTAGTGAAGAAAAAGAAAACAACATTTGGAAGTTTGGTTTTTTTATGGAGGGTTTTTTTCTTTATATCATATAAATTCATTATTATTTATAAATAAGATTATTAGTTTTGTTTTGTTACTTAAATAAATATTCGAGATTTTTGTTTTTGTTTTCTTTATAAAAAAAACAAATAAATAAATATACAAAATAATATTTGAAAATAAAAATAATATACATAAAATAATAATCATAATAAGGATAAAGAAAACCAACAAAATTTTTAACCATGAGTACAGGAGAAAACAAAACACACATTGTAATGTAAATAAATGTAAATAAAAAAAATAGAAATAAAAAATTGTGATTTTTGAAATTTTAA